TGGGGGGGACCCTAAAGGGGGGGATACCCCCAAATGGTGGGGGGGCACCCCAAAATAAGGCTGTTTCCCCCCCTCAGGGACGTGATCACCATCGACAAGGCCACAGGGAAGATCTCCAAACTGGGGCGCTCCTTCACCCGGGCACGGGACTACGACGCTATGGGGCCACAGGTGGGACTCTGGGGGGCACTTATGGGGCAGGGGGGGTACTTGTGGGTCAGGAGAAGGGTTTGGGGGTGCCCCCGAACCCCCTTTTATTAATTGTGTCCCCCCCTTTTCCAGACAAAATTCGTGCAGTGCCCCGACGGGGAGCTGCAGAAGCGGAAGGAGGTGGTTCACACCGTGTCCCTCCACGAGATCGACGTCATCAACAGCCGAACCCAGGGCTTCCTCGCCCTCTTCTCAGGTCTGCCCCACACCTGCCCCACACCTGCCCCACATCTGCCCCATAGCTGCCCCATAAGTGCACCTTTTTCCCCCCCCCCGACTGCCTCTGGGAGCCCCAAACTGCCCCTTATTCAGCTCAGGGAGCCCCAAACTGTTCCTTATCCAGCCCAGAAATTCATCGTGCTCTTGGGTAGATCTCCCTGCCCCACATCTGCCCCACATCTGCCCCATAGATGCCCCACATCTGCCCCACATCTGCCCCATAGCTGCCCCATAGCTGCCCCATAAGTGGCCTTTTTACCCACCCAATTGCTCCTGGAAGCCCCAAACTGCCCTTTATCCAGCCCAGAAATTCATCATGCTCTTGGGTAGATCTTCCTGCCCCACATCTGCCCCACATCTGCCCCACATCTGCCCCATAGATACCCTACAGCTGCCCCATAGCTGCCCCATAAGTGCACCTTTTTCCCCCCCCCCGACTGCCCCTGGGAGCCCCAAACTGTTCCTTATCCAGCCCAGAAGTTCATCGTGCTCTTGGGTAGATCTTCCTGCCCCACACCTGCCCCATACCTGCCCCACACCTGCCCCACACCTGCCCCATAGCTGCCCCATAAGTGGCCTTTTTACCCACCCAATTGCTCCTGGAAGCCCCAAACTGCCCCTTATCCAGCTCGGGGGTTCGTCATGCTCTTGGGTAGATCTCCCTGCCCCACAGCTGCCCCATAGGTGCCCCATAGGTGTCCTACACTTGTCCCACAGCTGCCCCATAGCTGCCTTACACCTGCCCCACACCTGCCCCACATCTGCCCCATAGCTGCCCCATAAGTGCACTTTTTTACCCACCCAATTGCTCCTGGAAGCCCCAAACTGCCCAGAAATTCATCATGCTCTTGGGTAGATCTTCCTGCCCCACGGCTGCCCCACAGCTGCCCCACAGCTGTCCCACCACTGCCCCACAGCTGCCCCATAGATACCCTACAGCTGCCCCATAGCTGCCCCATAAGTGCACTTTTTTACCCACCCAATTGCTCCTGAAAGCCCCAAACTGTTCCTTATCCAGCCCAGAAGTTCATCGTGCTCTTGGGTAGATCTCCCTGCCCCACGTCTGCCCCGTAGATGCCCCACAGCTGCCCCATAGCTGTCCCACCACTGCCCCATAGCTGCCCCATAGATGCCCTACAGCTGCCCCATAGCTGCCCCATAAGTGCACCTTTTTACCCCCCCCCGACTGCCCCTGGGAGCCCCAAACTGCCCCTTATTCAGCTCAGGGGTTTGTTGTGCTCTTGGGTAGATTTCTCTGCCCCACAGCTGCTCCATAGATGCCCCACAGCTGCCCCATAGCTGCCCTACAGCTGCCCCACAGCTGCCCCACAAGTGCACCTTTTTACCCCCCCCCGACTGCCCCTGGGAGCCCCAACCTGCCCCTTATTCAGCTCAGGGGTTTGTTGTGCTCTTGGGTAGATTTCCCTGCCCCACAGCTGCTCCATAGATGCCCCACAGCTGCCCCACAAGTGCACCTTTTTACCCCCCCCCGACTGCCCCTGGGAGCCCCAAACTGTTCCTTATCCAGCCCAGAAATTCATCGTGCTCTTGGGTAGATCTTCCTGCCCCACACCTGCCCCATAGATGACCCATAGCTGTCCCACCACTGCCCCACATCTGCCCCACAGCTGCCCCATATATACCCTATAGCTGCCCCATAAGTGCTCTTTTTACTGCCCCCCCGATTGCTCCTGGGGGCCCCAAACTGCCCCTTATCCAGCCCAGGATAGACCTCCCTGCCCCACAGCTGCCCCACAGCTGCCCCACAGCTACCCCATAGCCCCCTGAGCCCCCC